TTGATCACAAATTCTTGAATATTCATGGAAACACACATACCGAGTACCTTTGAAACAAACCAGTCGCAATAGTTTTATTTGTCACTTCACTAGGATGAATTTTATCCCAAAAGACATACGAGTTTCGTCTCGAGACGAGGTTCGATTAACAACGCAAGGATTCCTAGAGTTAGTGAACCACGAAGCGATCATGTATAATGATTTTTTAGTCTCAACATGTTATGTCACATAACTTAATTCTCAATAGACGCATATATGAAATTTTATCACTTGACTATTATTTCACCTAAAAACTTGAAATACCATCGCTAAGGATCTTAAACCAGCTAGAAGTTATAGCTAAAGTGGTAATTATTGAATTTGACAATTAAGTTTGGATTTTATTAAAAAAAAAAAAACTTAAGTCTCAAACTAAATGATCCATTCTCAACTTTATATTTAACATATAACTAAATCTCATCAAAGGAAAGATTTAAGAAATGAAGAGTACTTGTACATGTGTATTAAAGACATTTTTATTATGGACAATGACGAAGAATTGAAGGTTTAATTAGGCATTGAACGTACCATATTTTGTTGGATTTGTCCACAAATCTACAGTAATATTGAAAGCTACAAAACAAATGTCAAACCTTTTAGAACAGAGGTAATTCCAAAAGTTTCAAATTGAAAATGCTTGCTAATTCATTCACCTTATCAACACATCTAGTGGTTGGTTTAGCATTATTTATGGCATTCAGATTTCAACCTAGAGCACCAATCTCATAAACAATGATTTTTCAGGCTCCTAAGTTGTATAGAACCTGAAAATTAAACATGTCATCATCATGCAACGATGATTGTCAATCTATACAAAATTTAAGAAGTTGTTTTTGATACGCTACAGTGAAATATATTAACTAATCTACCTTTGTATTACTTCCAAGCTCAGCTACAAGATGATCTGTAAATTGTTTAGGATTGTACTAATTACTAATATTAGATTGGGGGTTCAGATAATTGATTCCATAATCGTTACTACCTATACCAACATAAAAAATAGATTTTGACATGTAGCCTATAAGCCTGGTTGGTTCTTTAAAGCTCAATGGCAATTGCTTTCTGACTATGTTTCTAAACATCTTGACTTATTTTCTCAAGTACCAATTCTATCCTTACATAATAATTGATTTAAACAAAAAAAAATAGATACTAAATAAGAATAATAATAATAATAAATCCTAAATTTTTTTTTATAAAATTAAGAAATGCTTGTAAAACATAATAGACCTTGCTAACTAATTTCTTACCACGATGTCTACACCTTGCCAACCTTATTATTTCATGATCAAGAATATTTCAATCTTCTCCCAATAATTAATTTCACTATTTTTGTTTATATAATTGTATTGAAATCTTACGTCATGTACTTATAAATGTATATAAAAAAATCAGTTACTATAAGACCATTTGTGAACCTGCCAATGGAATTAAGAGGATGATCCATGCCATTAGGGTAGGAATTTGCGCTTTTTTTGCTTTTGACTCTTGTAAGTTAATGTTCCCAACATCAATAAATGAGTCTCCAAGTATGTACAAAGCTGGAGCAAGTTTGGCTTTCTGAGCATCCATAAAAAATAAGAAGAGGAGTAGAAGAGGGGTTACTGAAATTTGATTCACCATTTTTTTTTTCCCGTTTTTGCCTCAAAGCTTCATGTTTGCTTTCTTCTTGTAAAATGTGTAAAGCGAGACTCTCGCTTTCTAAAGTTAGCTAGTAAGTTATAAATGGGATAGTTCAAAACAAATGTTCATGCAACTTGAAATAGAAAGATAGATGATAACATAGATTGATCATCGACTACCTCAACATCAGCTAGCAACAAATTCAACTAGTTTATAGGATAACTAGTTTTTAACTCATACTATGCTACGAATCAAGCATAAAATATAAAATCATTTCTGTTTGAAAGTCTACGCTATATTATGAATCTACCAAAATATATTGAACCAAAAATTAAAAAAAAACTATTCAATTTTGTCATTTTTTAATCAAAATTTTGTATTCGACTAATTATTCATTATATTTATCATAGTTTTTCTACTAAAAAATGATTTATTCTTATTTATTTGATTCTTAACTAAAAACCGAGTAACAATATAAAAATCCATTTTTATCTAAAAAATTATTTTTTTAAAAAAAATATGATAGAAATTCTCTAAAAAATATTTTTAATATAATAATAATAATGCTAGTATCACTTAAAAATTCTAAGAACCCATCATATAAATCATATAAAATTTTTTTTATATAAAAAATAATAACATTCTAAAATTTTATTTAAAAATTCATACACAGAGAACAATAAATCTTATTTATCAATAATTAAAATTTAAACAAAATAAAAATTTAAAATTACTATTAATTGGATGACAATCTCTATAAAAACCAACAAATTTAACAAATAAATTTTAAATAATAAAAGTAATGTAATATAAAATATATGTTTGTCTTTAAATATGAAAACATATCATATATATATTTATTTTCAGCCTCTCGAACCAAATTCACATAAAAACACCTCAAAATCACATGAATAACATTAAAAAACTCATTTAGACCCTCAAAATCAATTTTAATACACATAAAATACACAAAAATGTAAATCAAATAAAAAAACTCAAAATATTTCGGGATCTATCTTCTTCTACCATTTCATGATTTGAAACTACCACAAATGAATTCTACTCTTCAAGACAAACAAAATGATGGTGATTTTGACGATCGAGGAGCTCAAAAGGCCCTCTCTCTCTCTCTCTCTCTCTCTCTCTTATTTCTTCTATCTTTATGTTTCTCTATCCTATAAGCATTCAAGAACGAGATTTCAATACAATTGAAGATTGGTACCAAATTTTTTTTTCTAAAAAAATGAGGGACCAAAATGAAAAAAGCTAATAAATAGTAGAGTTGAGTGATAATCAATAGTAAAATCGAGTGTTGAGCTGTAGTTAAATGCACAAGAGAATGTACAATGAATAAGTATTTTCTTTTGTTATTTTAGTTAATGGTTTAATTTAGGACATGCATGGAAAGTAGTTGCCTTTCACATTAGTCGGAGGAATTAGTTTGTTTTGTCCACTGGATTGAAGCCATTCATGTTTATTTTAGGATCAAATTGCTTTTAAATCATGGATTGAAGCCATTCATGTTTATTTTAGGATCAAATTGCTTTTAAATCATGTAACTATTGTTAAATGTTGTTGTCCTTTTTTAATTATTATTGTCATAAATTTATTTTTTACCCAAAAAAATTATTAAATTTTTTTTTAAAAATCTATGATTTTTGAAATTTTTTTATTTTATAAAATTTCATGACTTTAAAGCATGTTGTTACCTTTTTATTTAATTTTTGAAAAGGCAGTTGAAAAGAAAAAAACAAAAAAAAGAGGAAATTATAAATTAGTCTCTCTTATTTTGAGAAACAAATTAAGTAGTCATTTGCATTTCAAAAATTAATCATTTAGTCCATAATTTTAAATCTACTCACAGTTTAGTCTTTTTTCTTTTTTAAAAAAATTATTTATTTTTATTTTAATAAATAAAAAAAGAAAAAATATGAATGGATTGATGAGAAAAAAATATTTTAGAGAATAAAAATAATATTAAATTGAGTATGATTAATACACCCGGGACCTTGGCATTTTAGAGAATCTCACTCTTGGGTCGTGGGACTTATAGCTTGGTAGTCCACTAGGTGGGTTAGTTTGTTTATCCTTCTAATTTCGAGTGTTTTCTTGGATAGTTATAGCGGCTCATATGGATCAAAGAACTAAATAATAGTTTTTGAAACAAAAAAGATTAATTAATTCATTTTTTGAAACTAAATGGACTAATTTATAACTTACTCAAAAAAAGAAAGAAGAAAAATCAAAAGAAAAAAAATTGGAAAAAATTGAGACTAAATTGAAAAAAAGAAAAGCCCGAAGAAATAGTAAATTATAAATTAGTTCTTTTATTTTTTTAAAAATAAATTAATTGATCGTTTTGTTTTAAAAATTAATTAGGGGTTGTAGCAAAAGGTCGTTGATTCTAGTTGTAGCGATGTTTGTGAAGTTTAAAACTTTTTTTTAGGCTGAGAAATCACCATTTTTGCTGCTGCTGTTGTGAAAAATTTGGATGCTATGGAGAATGCTATTTTTTAGAGCTCTCTCTATTTTTTTTATCCTATTGAAAAGCTATAAAAAGTTTAGGCTTGGAAGATAAAATTTTAATTTTCAATTAAATGCATATACTTTCAAATTGATTTGTAGAGTGAGGACTAAAATAATTTAATCACCTGTGATTCTTTGATTTGCAGAAAGAAAAAAATCTTATGAATCTTGTAAAGAGATTTTTGGCCTTGAATATTGGAACTTTCAAACAGAGAAGAGGTTAGAACTGAATGTTGTTCTGATTATTTGTGTTCTTGAATTGAATCACGAAGAGAGATTTAACTACTTTCTTTCCAAATTCAAGAGTTATTTTGTTTTATATCCTTAAGATTTTTTTTTTTTTTTTTTTAATTCAACCTCCTTTAATTTTTTATGTATTATTTACATTTAATTTTTGTTTTTCATGTGTTAGTTTTATGTGATATGGTAATCTATTTGTCATTTGTTATTAAAAAAAAAAGGACTTAATCATCTTAGAGGAGGGATCAAATTAAGAAAATATTATGATTGGAGGGAAGTGATAAAGAATAGAGGGGTGATATTAAAAACATATCAAGAGTAAAAGGACTAAGTATTCGATTAATCGGTACAACTTTTGCCTTCTTCAGCGTATGAGGGAGCAGCGAAAAGCAGCAGCAGCCATCCAAGCAGGCTTTAAAGCTACTGCAAGGAGGAGCGAGAATTAAGTAAGAAAAAAAAAAATGGGAAAGAAAACGAAGAAACCAGGCAAAGGAAAAGAGAAAACAGAGAAAAAAACAGCTAAAGCTGAAGAAAAAAAGCTCGCAGAGAAACCAAAAAACTCTCTCCTGAAGATGACATCGATGCCATTTTGGTAATTCATTCTTTTCTTAATCTTCAATTATATTTATCAATTTTAATTAATTTTTTTATTTTAATCATCATTAAATTCAGCTTATTTAGATTAAAAAAAATTGATGATTTTGTTGATTTTTTTTCTAGCTCAAGCTTCAATCGTTAGAGAGTATTTAATTAATTGTCTGTGTTAAATAGAAAAATTTTGATGGTAAAAAGATTTTTCTTTTTTTGTTTGACAGTTGAGTATACAAAAAGAAGAAGCCAAGAAGAAAGAAGTCCATGTGGAGGACAATGTAGCAGCACCATCTCCTCGATCGAATAGTACGGTAATGACTCCTTTCTTCAGTAGTCCTGTCATTGTTTTGTGCCGTAAGTTGAAAAGTTTATTTAGAAGTTTTGTGCTTATTTATTGATTGGTGAGTGTAGTTAAACATTAATCCACTGAAAGACACAGAATTGATACTTTATGGAGGCGAATTCTACAACGGTAGCAAGGTTAGATCTTTTAACGTAACTTTTTATATTTGTTGAAGTAAATGACTTTTTTTTTTTTTTTCTTGAAATTTCAGTAAGGTTAACATGATGTGATTGTGGATTAATGCAGACATTTGTGTATGGTGATCTTTATCGTTTTGATGTGGAGAAGCAAGAATGGAAGTTGGTATCGAGCCCTAATAGTCCGCCTCCGCGTAGTGCTCACCAGGCAGTTGCTTGGAAGAATTATCTTTATGTCTTTGGTACTTTGATAGAAAAAATCTGAAAGCTTGATTTGATATTATATGAAAAGATTTAAGCTTGATTGCTTTATGTTCATTTTGCATGTTGGTTGAATTTTGTTGTTGTTAGGTGGTGAATTCACTTCTCCGAATCAGGAGCGATTCCATCACTACAAGGTGATACCTCAGTCATTTGTCTTCTTTATATTTATTATTTTTTGAGGTCTGCAGCAAATCTGGTTTTTGAATAGTTTACATAGAAATCTGATTCTGGTTTTGTTTATTTATTGTAATAGGACTTCTGGGTGTTGGACTTGAAAACAAATCAATGGGAACAGCTAAATTTCAAAGGTTCTCCAAGTCCACGTTCAGGTCATCGAATGGTTGGTTCAGGTCTACTTTAAAATTTGTTCACTAATTATTTGAGTAGTAGGAGTATCACCTTTACCTTCTTTCGTTTGTAGGTTTGCAATTTTTTTTTTCATATAATGAAAGATGTATGATACTTCTTGGATTTTGACTTGCATGGCTAGAAATTGGGTATGAAATTGAGTTTTGATTAATTTCTCATTATACATTTACTTTTTCTGTTATTAATGTAATATTATTTGTATGTAGAGCAATGCTGATCAAACATATTAATGAGATTTTAATTTTGGATCATGTATTACTTATGATGGCTAAAGATCTTGAAATGACATCAGTTGTTGATATTGTCAAAAGTTTTCTATACAAATATTTATTTCTCTTTGATGAAAGAAGTTTTGTAAAAAATAACAGAAAACAAAGTTCAATGTGGAGTGTGATGCATCCTCCAAACGAGTACAATGTAGTGTTGTGCTGATACAAAAGCCCTCTCTTCTTTAAGAGCAATCTTTCCATTCATCTTGTTGCTGCCAGCTTTTTTTAATAAACAAATCTTAGTATAGTCGGCATCTCATATGTGTTCCACTTTGGGGTTCTGTTGCAGGTTTTATACAAGCACAAAATTGTTCTTTTTGGTGGCTTCTATGACACTCTCAGAGAAGTGAGGTTGTGATATGTCTTTGCTTCATTGAAACCATTTTCTTATCTGTTAATTATTAGCTCATGCTATCTGTGCTGTCTGTCTGCTTGATTTAACACACTTTTCTGCAAATCATTGTGAGGAATTCTATCACAAGTTTATCTTCACAGAGCTCTGGTTTGTAATAATATTTTCTTTAAATCAGTCGAATGATAAGGCATAATTTAATGGAGCTTTTCTTTCTTTATCTGCAGGTATTATAATGATCTACACATCTTTGACTTAGATCAATTCAAGGTGAACATATTTGGCTCCTCATTTGCTGGTCACCTATTTTATCTCTAAAATAATTTAAAAAATTGTTTAACTATCATACTTTATGCTAAAAGTCATGTACGTTGGTGCATTGTAGTGGCAAGAAATAAAGCCAAAGCTTGGAGCCATGTGGCCAAGTGCACGGAGTGGTTTTCAGTTATTTGTTTATCAAGATGAGGTAATTCCAAATGCAATTGGGGTGCTATCGGTATTCTTGGGAATTTATTCATTTGGTACTCCATATGTTGCTTTTTGTTCAGTAAATCTTCTAGATTATGTCCAGGGTGATATGGGTGTTTTTGTGATTTGTTTGATTCAAAGGATATAAAAAATTGTAAATATCTAGAAATCAGGTTCATGTTCACTTCTCTGATGTTTTGTTGCTTCAGTATGAATTCGATATATTGATAGGTGTTACATGGCTGCTTTTATACTTTAATTTTCTTTCAAGGTGATTGTTACCTTAGAAGACAAGCATGATGCGAATTGTCTTGAGCTTTACATAAAATGAAAGTACTGAAATAGTTTGTTGTTTTATTATATAAATGAAGAAACTTGGAAGAAAATATGCTTTGTGCCAATGTGGTGGGATTAAGATGCAATAGCTGGTTGTTTTGACTGGCAGCAACTGGTATTTGAGAAAATTGAAGTACAAAGCATAAATTCTGAAAGGTTAAGAAAATAATCAAATAGAAAAGGATTTAAATTTCAGAATAAAGATAATTAACGTATGTATGTGGAGTCCTAAGAAAGTAATTTAAGGATGGTTGCTACCTCATTTTCATGAGTAGGATTATAATTATAAGTAGAGATGAATACATAAGATCAAAGCCAAAGCCACCTTCTTTTGGTATTTATTTTTTCCCAATCACCCCTTTCCAAATCCATAATTGCCAGACATGATTAAAAAATTCTCATATAGTTTCTTTGTTTAACTAATTGTTAATTGGCTGTTGAAAGTTATGATGAGTTTTGCTAGTATTGAAGACTGGTAGTCTTGAAAACAAGAATCTATTGACTTCTCTATTTCATACATCCTTTTTATGTTGCATCATGGGTTTTCTATTAACACATCATGTACAATGTGTTATAATGGTGCTATGCTTTTTCCTTGTTATTTGTCATCTTCTATGAATTTGGGGCTGTTGTTACTTTCCCAGTTATAAGGTTGAATGGTAGTACTGAATACGTTTTTCTGAATGCATTTACATGGCAGATTTTTTTATATGGTGGTTATTCCAAAGAGGTTTCATCTGATAAGAGCATCTCAGAGAAAGGAATTGTTCATTCAGATATGTGGTCCCTTGATCCTAGGACCTGGGAATGGAACAAGGTTGGCTTTTTCTTTTTCTTTTATTTCTTTTATTTATTTTTGATTTTCTGCGATATGTCATAGTTGCTGTGTGCAACCGCTTTTCATTATTGCCTTCATATCCAATCAGCATCTTGCTTTTATTGCATTCAGAGAGGCTATAGGGTCGTTGTGAATCTATTACATTTGGTTAAAGCGTGTTCTGGATTGTGGTTGAGCTGGTAAAAGGCAAGTTTGGTGTCCTAAGAGGCTGTTTGGTAACCTTTTCATAACCATTTTTTTGGCAAATGGCAACCCGGTCTCGAACTGGCCCTTTATTCATTTCTACATTTCCGTTATGGTGATCCAAAGTCTAAACCTTTAGAGTAGAATATTTGTCTCTTTCAGTGATAACATTGATAGCCCCTCAAAATTTCAGATTTGGGCATGTCTTGTTATTTCTTAAGTCTTTTATTGGTTAAAAAGTTTCTAGTACTTTAGTTTTTTATTCAAGGGCGAACCACCTTCCTTTAGTTTTGAGCTTTCTTCTCTTCTGAAATAAATTATGGTGATGTATATTGCTATCCCTTTATACTTTTTTCCTTGTGATAGGTAAAGAAAAGTGGGATGCCTCCCGGTCCTCGTGCTGGATTTTCCATGTGTGTTCATAAGAAGCGTGCAATGTTATTTGGAGGTGTAGTGGATATGGAAATGGAAGGTCAATTTCTTTCTTTGCATGTGCTTGTAAGCAAGCCACTATTTGAATTGACATGACTTTTACCTTTTTATCAAGTTCGGTTTGTTCTATATTCTTCCTTCACTTTCCATTGTTTGAATTTCTAAATTCTTCATCTATGAATCACCTGTGCAATGTTTATCTACAATTTCAGTACCCCTAAATCCAAAATATTCCATGTATATTTCCTAAAAAAAAATGCAATAAGCCAAAAAAAAAAAGCTCTGAATATAACTTATACTAGTCTTTTTCCCTTAATTTATTAGTTAATGGAGTAATTTTCACAAGTAAATTCATCTTTCTCTGAAGAATAATTATTCAAAGTTTTCACTTTCAGAAATGATAGTCGAAGGTGAGCATAACTAAAGTTTTGATCTCCATCGACAAGGTTTTGAATCAACATTTATTGATTTTAATTCTTTATTTTTCCTAGTTACAAATTGCGCTCTGGTTGTTCATTGGGAATCTAATCACTCTCTAATTCTCTGTGGTTTTTTAATATAGTTACTCTGACTTGCCTTTTGTTCATCTATAAATCTTTTTGTTGACTATATTAATTGACCATATGGAATATTAACTTGCAAGGTAGCTGGTTCAATTGTTGAAGATATTACGTATTAATATTTAAATTAAAATCCAAATACAGCTTTAGTATTTCTTGCTTAATTGAAACAAACATTTGTAATGAAATGAATGAATGAAATCTGCTTGCTCAGCGTCTGTAGTTATCCTGTTTCAAAGCATTTAGATTTTAGTTTATACTTTCTAGCTCCTCTTCAAACTTTTGCCTTTCCCGTGTCAGTTGTTGTTATGTTCTTGTAATTTTATTTGTCATTGCAGGTGATGTAATGATGAGCTTATTCTTGAATGAACTTTATGGCTTCCAATTGGACAACCATCGCTGGTACTCTCCATCTTAAGTTATTTTCAATTGGTTATATTAGTTGTGCCCTTTCAGACATCTGCACTTGAAAATTATTGCAGGGTATATCTTGCTTATTTGCAAAGAACTTAGTCACCACAATGCACAGGCTTAATCAGAATAATAAATTATGTACTAACAGCATAATATCATAACAATGTGAAGGGTTGTTAGATCCATCCCCCTACCCCTTGACATGAGACAGTCCCTCCCTTCTCTCTATACATACATATTTGATTTATCTGCAATAAAAAATTAGCATACAAAAATCAGGTGATTTGGCATATGGCAGCAAATACTTCACATAGTGCTGTGTACTTTCAGATAATCATATGTTGCATTTGTGTATAGGTATCCATTGGAGCTACGGAAGGAGAAGTCCACAAAAGATAGGGTACAGTCACGCTGAAAACTGTAAATGATGTTAAAAACTGCATATAAAAATCACTATGTTTGTATTCTCAAAACTTTTTGTTTTATTAGTTTTGTTGTAATAAATGAATAAGATTAATTAAGGATTTGCAGTCGGTTCCTAAAATTACTGAAAGCTTATGCAATGTCTTAGAGGGAATTTCTTTGATGTTCTTGGGTCAGGCTTAGTCAATAAAGCTCATAGCCTTTTTTTGACCAGATGCTCAGATCCTGACACTTTTCATTTTCTCAATCCAATCACAAACCAACACCACTTGCACTTACTTCGTTGGACAACCACCAATCTTCCTTATTAACGGTTTCCTCCTTTCCACTACAAAGATTCCCTTGTCCTTTGATGGGCTTTTGGCTCATTCCAGTCTATCATATTTTCACTCTAATTCTCTTACAGCACCCTAGCAGTCTGAAGCCATCCACAACATCAATAATGCACTTTGCTAGCAGACAGTATAGCTCTAAGCATTGTACTCACTAACTATTCAAAATACTCTGATTTGCCACCAAGTGTATTCTCAACTGCCACAATGTTTGAACTCTTCAAGTATCGGTTGTTTATTTGTCTTCAACTCTGTATCTCCAAATACTTGTCAGCTGGTATTAGACTACAAAAATCCATGCCCCTATTCAATTTTTGCTGCTTCCTATCGCTAAAGTGATCTCCTCTTTTGTGTTTATTGTAATCACATTTTAATGTTACTGTGAATAAATAAGCTAGAATTTGTTAATTTCAGATGACTTTTGTCGTCATAATCATTGATTTGCATTGGTTCTTTGCAGTTAAAAAAGAGTTCTGAACAAAGGACTAATAGTTCTGATAAAGATGGGAAAAATTCAAATGTTTTAGAGGAGCTGCCTACCCCAAATGACCCAGATGAAAATCTAGAGTACCATGAAGAAGCAGAAAACATAGAAAGCAACATTGAAGAAATATCTCAGAATTCGGCAGAAAAAATGACTCTGGTTGATGGTGGTTCTTCAGCTGCCAATGGGAAGCCTGAAACATCCAAAGCCAAACAAGTTCCTCAAAATTCTGTTTTCTCAGAGGTTTGTCATGGCTAGAGCTGGTCCACTTATGGACTTATTCTTGTGCAATTGCTGATTTATTAAATCTAGTTTGAACTTGTAGACAGTGAAGCCATGTGGGCGTATAAATTCCTGTATGGTTGTGGGGAGAGATACGCTGTACATATATGGTGGCATGATGGAGATTAAAGACCAAGAAATTACACTCGATGATTTGTATTCTCTCAATCTCAGCAAACTTGACGAGTGGAAGTGCATTATACCGGTTTGTGACATTTCTTGCCCCTAGTTCACTTTGCTCATAATTCAGATATCCTTTTGTTTTCTGGAATTTAATGTTTAATGCCATTTGCATGCAGGATTTGTTATTGATCCTTGTAGTGAGCACCTCAATCTTAATTTGGCTCTGACTATTCTATTATTTCTTTTTACAGGCATCTGAATCACAATGGGTAGAAGCATCAGAGGATGAAGATGATGACGAAGATGAAGATGCAAGTGACGACGAGGGTGGAAGCGACAGCAATGATGAGACTGATGATGGCGATGACGACGACGACGACGATAATGATGTAGAGGTGCTTCTTCTTAACTTTCTCATGCAGCAAAATCATTTGTGTAACTGCTCTTCCTTCCATCCTTCTCCACCGCCTTTTGTGACTGACAGGAGGATGGAATTCTAACTTAGTTCAACCTATGCAATTTTTTGCCTTGTTTTGTCTTTACACTACCTCTCTTCTTTTACTTCCTTGCTTCCATTCAACTTAAATTAGAAGATGCTGATTTTAATGATGGATTAGAAATTTGACATAAACTGCAGTATTCTGAAATTATACTTCATCTTCCAATTTAAGTTCCTAAGATTATACATCATCTTCGAATTTAAGTCCTCAATTTCTTCCCTTTTTTTCCCAATATGCTGTAAGCTATATCCAAAGGGGTAAAAAATCTCTGCTATTTAATTTGTTTTTATTAAATTGGTTCTATATGTCATGCTTGTGTGTATGCAGGTGGATGCCTTTGTTTGGGACATTCAAGCAATGACATGTAAACGTGTGCATGTGCTAGTGTGTGTGTGTGGTACAAGTGAGATAGAGAGCTGAAGATATTTGCTGCAAGGATATTCTTTTGAATTTCATTTATGTTGGTGCTGACTTGTTTAACTCCTTCACTTTTTGACTCATGTAGGCTAGAAATAATGCTTCTGGATCTCTACAAGTGGGAGATGCTGTTGCTATAATAAAAGGCGAGAAGAAAAATCTACGGAGGAAGGAGAAATGGGCCAGGATAGAGCAGATCAGAGTCAATCTTGGCCTTTCAGATTCACAAAGAACTCCAATGGTACTTGGTGTTTGTTGTTTTCATTTTTTTTGTTTGCTCTGTTTGTTTATTTGTCGACTAATGTCTCTTTTGCTTATGAAGCCGGGAGAATCTTTGAAGGATTTCTATAAACGTACAAATATTTACTGGCAAATGGCAGCACATGAACATACCCAACACACTGGAAAGGTCTGTCTTACAATTTCTAGCCAGTATAGGTGGATTTTTGTTTAATCTATTGATTTTTGATTTGTTGATTCTTCTGCTCGTCAATTGCTTGTTCTGTGGTTTGATCAATGGTTCATGGTTGGACTTGCTTGGTTCCTGTAAGACAAATACCAAGTTTCAGTGAACAAACTTCACTGATGTAGATAGAATATGTTATGTTGGCTTTCGTTGGTTAGGTTTGTAGCAGGAGGCATATAAGACATTTTGATGCATTTGTTCAAGCAGGTGCCCATTAGTTTTCAATTGTTTCCAGTTCCTGAGATGCGAGCACCTAGGATCTCCTGGTTAAGTTAGTTTTTACTCCTCCAGTTCCATGTCTTCTCATAACAAATGCCCATCCTTTTATTTTCCTGTTAAATGAATGGAAGTTATTAAGACCTCGAATAAAGTAGCTGAGGTTTCACTGATGTTCCTAGAAACAAGTATCAGAAAAGAGATGGAAGAATGAAACCAAAAAACAAAGATGGAAATAGCGATCTAGTCATCATGCCACCAAAATAAGAAGAGGACCGAATCACCCTCCCCTCCCCCACAACCACCCAAGCGTGAACTATATGCTTCCTTATTCTCTCCCATGCACTGCACTTGCACGCACGCACTTGCATGCACATATATGAACAATTGGAGGTTCTTATGTATGTAGCAGCATAATATGTCATTCGCACTACAGGAGCTTCGTAAGGATGGTTTTGATCTTGCTGAAGCACGATACAGAGAACTTAAACCAATTCTTGATGAGGTAATCCTTTCAACTTTCAATCCCAGGGTTTACTTAGAAGGGTTCTGCCAAAACCCAAAAGATATAAATCCATTCACAATTACGGCCTACATGATGGTTTATGTTTCTTTTGTGTGTGCTCAGCTGGCTATATTAGAGGCAGAGCAGAAGGCTGAAGAAGCGGAAGAGGCTGAGACTAGTTCAAGAAAGAGAGGCAAGAAGAAAAATAAATAACATAGAGCTTCCCAATAGATGAAGCTTTGACGTCAGCTATCGAAAAATTTTGTAAAATATTGTTATAATGATCAACTTATGCTTCAAAATCCATTCATTATCCATATTTGCACCATACTTGTGCTTGAATTCAAGCAAATCGCAGGGATAGGTTGAGTTTTTCAATCATTTGCATGCAGAGATCTGTTGTATGAAATTATTCTACATTTTTCAGAGCTCAAATTTCAGTTATGATTTTGAATCCACCTGTTTCTAAATTTCTTTATTTTATTCTCTTGCATCTGCACACACAATTAAAAAAAAAGACTTAAAAGGAGAGGAATTTGCGAAATTCAAATCTAGCCAGAAGCTGTGAGCTGGCCACTTGATAACAATTCCAGGTGTAAAAGCTTTGTTGTAGGTCGGATACTGCCGTGTCGTATAGCACGCTGCCAATGCTTGGAAACCATTAGGAAATTTAAATCCTTGTTTTTATCAGTGAAGGACACTACTCACCTAATGAATTTAGAATTACGCAAATTATGGAGCATTGGTATTCTGTGAAGCTAGAATCCAATCATCTGACGCATCACAAAATCTTCTCCAAATCTAATCATGATATATTAATAAATTGTTGTGTAAACGGAAACTGCATCTTCCCTACTCCTTCCTGACACCAATGCCCCCTTCTTTCTTCCTTAAAAAAAAAAAAAAAAGAATGTCAGAAACGGCCAACAATGACCTAATTACGAGGAATGTGTGGAATTTGAATGAGGCTATGATGGAATATTGGAACTCATTTCTGAGCTTTGACTTCTACGCCCACAGGTGAATATTTAGGTAGTCTACAATCAGGCAAGGGTTAATGGTTTCCCTAGCATTGCTCATTACTCCTTTGATTGGCAAATATTGGGTGATGAGATCTGTCCAGGGCTCTAGGCTGATGGCATGTGCAACACCACAGTCTCTCAGGTGGAGTGATTAATGAGTGAAATGATGGATGTGAAAACTAGATAGAATTACAGCCCTTAAAAAGAAGAGCCTCTCTTCTACCACTTTAGCCTACCGGTGCTGGAGATACCACGTTTGTATACCTGTGTCTTTTGTTTTTCCTCTCTCTAAGTAGTGCCACATTTTAACACTAATAAATTCAGTGTGCTTTTGTTTTTGTAATTCTTCTTTTAATATAATTACTTTGATTCCCCCCTTGTCTCTAAAAAGAAGAACCCACTGCAGCTGTTGAAGTTCCAAGAAAACATTAGAAAAATTGGCTATCTCTTCACGCATGCAACACTACTAAAGAAGAAATTTCTACATCACTTCTCTAGGGTTTTAAAGTTACTAATCTGAATATCAGAAACAACATGGTATATATATAATTAATTAATACAAGTACATTTATCAAGAACCAAAAGGTGAAAGCAAGAAGAAGTATATCATCTTTTTAAATCTAAAGTGTATTAATTTTTATTTAATTAGGAAAAAAGCTTCCGTAAAGGAAGCAGGCCAGTCACCTTATAATATTATGATAAGAGATCAACCACCATATATATATATATATATACCTAAATTAATTAAGTTCTTCTTTTAATAGAAATTAATAAAATTAAGGCCCTAGCTACCTCATTTCTTTAAATTTAATTTGTTTTTAGGTGGAATCTTGCAATTAACAAGAAAAGCCAAAGTTTTTTTTTTTTTTTATCAAATCAAAAGTTGTGCATATATTTATACGCTAGCTAGGGTTGCAAAAGGATATGATTTACATATACCGTCTCGTGATAAAAAAATATTTATGAGCAGAGCAAAAGCACGTAGAAATTGATCAATTATTCTTGATTTTTCTCTTATAGTGAAGCTAGAAATTAAAGAAGCAAGATTTGAAATTGATCAGCCGGTGCGTATAGCTAGCTAGGATCTTATCGTGTGGTCTAAGAAGCTAAAAAAAAAAAAAAGGTAGGAAAACGTTGATGGGGACAACAGAATATATCGATCGCCATGAAGCCAATTAAAAACTATATTTAAATTTTACCTTGTCTTGCCAGCTAATTAATAATTATGAAAATGTACTTACTCCAGCATATACAATTAATATATCAATTGTTCAACCACACGTACCGTTCTACGCCATTTAGCAGTCAGCATTTGCAAATTAATTAGTGTTTAGTTTAATTTATAGCAAATTTTAATGTAAGATATAATTATAATTTAATTATAGCTATTAAAGATAAACGATTTTGAAATGCATAGATTAATTCTTTAGGACTTACACTAATTGTTATCATTAGATTAAGATTCTGTTGTATTCATTGCAATTAGATTTAAAACAGAAATTATTTTATAATTAATACAAAATATTCTGTCATTAGATAATCAAGAGTGGATTTCTAATATTTTCTTCATAGAAAATGCAAGAGACATCAATTTAATGTATTTTTAATCTAATTACACTTTCAATCAATCGTAATATTACTAAACATACAGTAATGATCATGATAGGTAGACTGATCAAAATGTTTCCAAGAACCATTTTGGTGGCATGGAAATGGTCACACTATAAATAAGTAGAGCTATAGAGATGTTGGATTATCAAATAAATCGAAATGAGACCAATTTGTAGTGACCAAATCAGAAATTAAAAAAGTCATTTTTTAATCCATTATTTGGTTTCTATATATATGATCAGTTAAAGGGGCGTGTGAGTATGTGATAATAAAATGTATATATATAATAGATCTTCCAAAGATTTCCAAGTTGGAATTTTCTTTCGAACTACCAGCTAATTAATTAAAGAAATATATAATTTCCCAGAAAAAAAATCTGTATAGTGGATGTAGAATCTAGTGGGTCCGAATAATTATATATTAAAAAAGAAAATGCATAAATAATACACTAAAATAAATAATTTGATTATCTTAGGTAAGTTTCCAAATTAAAGTTTGAATGAGTACATAATTAATTAAGTGGAGCCAGGGCTTGTACCTATACTACATATTCTAAATATTCGATCCATCGCAGCAATTTCGTACGTAATACTTAATTATCAATCTACATCAGTGACCGCTCAATAGATTTTAAACAATTAATTAATAATAATTGATCATATAATCAGATATAGCTAAATTAATATTGATTTTTCCCAAAAATAAAATAAATGATGCACGTTAAATTTTCATGTATCAGTTTAGGAATATATATATATATATATGGATCTTAAAGCATTACTCTTTCAGGAAATGTATATTCAAAGGATTCAGTGTATTATCGTGTAATTTTCATGAAAGAAAAAGGAAATAAAACTGATCAGTCGAAAAGGAATCTTGCATGCTACCGCACACACATAAATATATATGGCAACACAACTAACGCAAGTTAAAACTCTAAATTTTTTTCGTATTATATATATTAATTTGGATTAGTAGATGTTTCTATACTAATATTTTAGTTTATTCTGTCTATTAATTATATTTTATTAGTTTAATATGTTTAGTTAGTTTAGGACATTTAACGTGATCAAAAAGTGCTATGTATATATTCGAAACTAACTAATTAAATTTTGAAGCAATTTTTTTTCTTCTTGAGAATTCTTGTCCATTCGTAATTTTAAAAAAAATATCTTCATTTTAATTAGTGGGTATTATAGAAAAATACTTATTTCATATTTTGATTAAAATAAATATTTAAAAAAAAACCTTTTGGAAAAAAAAGAGTAATTTTTAGAGGAGAAAAGAGAAAATTAATCAGTCAACAAAGAATCTTGCTTGTGATTTCTATATATAGCTGTCTTACTGCCAAGTATACCAACCTCCCATCCGAATGAATATATATGATATAATTAAAATTTTATAATACATAATAACCAACTAGTGATATATGTAATAATTATTTTATGGATCTATTTTGAGAAAAAAAGATAGATACAAAAAAGAGACATTTTATAACAATAACTTGTGTATTATAAAATTTCTCTATAATATAACACGACAAGACAAGTAATGAGGTCCCTATGGTTATGTATATATGCAAGTATATAAGCAACACACTTTACTCGTTTCCAAATTACACATTTCGTTTGGGTTATGAGGAGAAATTTTATAATACATCAGAGAGTAACTCAGTGATATATACAATAGTTACTCTATGAGTCTAGTTTGCGAGATAGAGATAGACAAAAAAAAAAAAAATTACATTCATATCTATCAAAAGTGATAAAGAAGATTTTCACATCCGTTCAATTTTATTATATTTTATTTTTTTATTTTTTTGCTCCTATCTCTCTCCTTAGAATGAGCTCATAAAATAATTATCGTATATCGCCACTAGTTATTACTGCTCTATTATAAAATTCCTCGGTCATGAGAACTAAAACTATTACTTCTTTCTTGTAACGCATATCCCCTAAATCATGCAAATCATCATCCCTTCACCATTAATACTGCCACACTTTGTCCTCTAATATCTAACAGTTGGATTCCCTTCTTTTCTCCATATAACCCAATCACACACATTAACAACACCACACCACACTAGTTTTCATTATACAGACTAGATCAGCTAGCTAGCGAGGAAAGGAAAATGGGAGGGGGGCTATGTCCAAGAATGGACACTGCAGGTTTGTGCACAAGATTGTCAAGTTCATGGAAAAATATGGAGAAAGGTCTGAATGATGCGGTCTCAAAGAGCAAAGTTGGCAAATACTTCAAGCTGGATGCAAGAAAGAGCAGTTTCACTAAAGAGCTACGTGCTGGCACTGCCACTTTCCTCACCATGGCGTATATCATCACTGTTAATGCTACCATTCTAGCCGACTCTGGTGGTACCTGCTCCGTTGCTGACTGCTCTGCTCCGGTGAACCAAACGGTTGCTCCAGACTGCATGCTTAAACCTAATCAAGGTTACCAAAGCTGTCTCGATAAAACCAAGAGTGACCTTATTGTAGCTACTGTTCTATCAGCCATGATAGGGTCGTTTGCTATGGGAATTTTCGCAAATCTGCCTTTGGGCTTGGCCCCAGGTATGGGTCCTAACGCTTTTGTAGCGTATAATTTGGTAGGGTTTCATGGTTCTGGGTCTATTTCTTACAAGACTGCAATGTCAATAGTCTTGGTTGAAGGTTGTGCCTTTTTCGCAATTTCTGCTTTTGGGCTTAGAGAAAAGTTTGCTAGGGTCATACCGAAACCAGTCCGGCTCTCTTGCGCAGCCGGCATCGGGCTTTTCATCGCTTTTGTGGGCTTGCAAGTCCATCAAGGCGTGGGCCTCGTTGGACCTGATGAGTCCACGTTGGTGACGGTGACGGCCTGCTCGGTCACAAATCCAGTGACCGGAGAGTGCCTTTCCGGCAGAATGCGGAGCCCTACATTTTGGGTTGGCTCAGTTGGGTTGCTAATTACGTGTTATGGGTTAATGAAGGAAATCAAAGGCAGCATGATATATGGCATTCTTTTCGTGACATTAATATCATGGATTAGAGGAACTGCTGTGACATATTTCCCACATACCGCACTTGGCGACAACAATTATAAGTACTTCAAGAAAGTGGTGGATTTTCATAAAATCCAATCCACAGCTGGGGCTATAAGTTTCTCTAATTTTAACACAAGTGATGTTTGGTTGGCTTTAGTGACCTTATTCTACGTAGATATGCTAGGCACCACTGGAATACTGTACACAATGGCAGAAATTGGTGGATTTGTGAACGAAGAAGGAAGTTTTGAAGGGCAGTACATGGCATTCCTTGTTGATTCAGGGTCTACAATTGTGGGATCTACATTAGGAGTTACAACAACCGCAACATATGTCGAATCATCTGCTGGGATTAGAGAAGGGGGTAAAACAGGATTAACTGCTGTTACTGTTGGTTTATATTTTCTTGTATCGTTGTTTTTTACTCCTTTGTTAACTAGTGTACCACCTTGGGCTATAGGACCATCACTAGTGATAGTTGGGGTTATGATGATGAAGGTGGTGAAGGATATCAACTGGGATAACATTAAGGAAGCAGTGCCTGCTTTTATGACCATGCTTCTCATGCCACTAACTTACTCCATAGCAAATGGGATTGTTGGTGGGATTGGACTTTACATTGCTCTTAGCTTGTATGATTATATTGTGAGGTTCATGAAGTGGTTAACCAGGATGAGGAGAATGGTAGTGAAAGAACGAAACCAAGTGTGTGCTACAGCTGCTGTAGATCTTGCAATTGAAGTAATTTAAGCTTTTAGCTAGCAATTTTATCTCTCCAATTTTCTCAGTGTGTATATATGTTCCTCCACTTTTCGACACATTGATGATGGTTCGGAGTTTCATCTGTACTTATTTTTGCAATATTTTGTCTTAAAAAGAAGAAAAATGAAATCATGATAATTCGTTCGATGAAAGAGAGAAGAACAAGGCTCAAGTACTATAACTTGGTTAAACTTGATACAAATCAGTGCATTGTCTCAAACCATTAGCACCCGGAAAAAAAAAAAAAAAAAACCTACTGGCTGAGTGTTGTTGGCCTTGCTTAAAGCTTCCCATCCACGCATCAAAGTTTTCGAACCAGATTTTTCTTGGTAGAGTACAGGCCACTATTTCATATCAGGATCCCTAAGATCGAACAACGATCTTCCTTTCCTTTCTTGCGCCAACAGGAGATGATGGCATGGGTGTTGGCAACTCCTGCACAAGTATCAAAGGAATGTGAAAATATATTTGCCTCTCACACAATAAAAATGTTAGATGATCCATCCAACGTCGCATGAAACCCATTACGTCAATCTGATGAATGTAGAGAGATTGAAACCCAACATTCAACAGAGCATCTATCAGGTTGATCAGCTTTTTAAGTGAGCAAGCATAGCAGAACAGCCGTTAGCTTTGCTTGGTCAATCACATTTAACATGATTCCTTTTCAGACTCGAGGAAACCGAAAGAACTAAAAGAGCAGGTTTTTTATTCCCTATTAAATACCTTTTTTGTTTTTAAGGTTATTAACAGGATCCATCATGCTGGTTATTGTCTTTCAAATTGCACCGCACTTCATGAATACATAAAATCAATAGATGCATAGATATACATTTTTGTTCTAAAATGGCACATTAGACTCCAGATTTTGAACTAAAAATGAAGAATGAGACAAAAATCGTGCCCCTAGACTGAGAGCATCAATTGATGTTATCTTTTATGCTTTACATGATCTTGTCAAACCAGTACTGGCAGCGTAACACTAGCTAAGCTTTTAACGCAGGCTGTCCACAAAATGAAATTACTAGTTCAAAACCAATAAAAGAGTAAATTATAAATTAGTCCCACTAGTTTTTCAAAAGGAATTAAATAGTTTATCTAGTTTTAATAATGGGTTTTACTCATATTGAGACCTCATACAATTTAGATTTTTTTTTATTGACACTCTAAATTTTTTTTATCCAATTTAATAGTTCTACTCTTACATTATTATTGTTTTAGACCTTAATATGTCACGTAAATATACGTTGACAAGCTCTAAATAATGACGACTTGCCATGTGTCATGGTGGACCTATATTGGGTTTTAACGAAAATAAAAAATTGTTACGCGGCAAGCTTTTAATGTGCTTATATGACACATTAGGGTCTGAAATAACAACATAAGAGTAGAACTCTTAAATTAGATAGAAAAAAATTTAGCGCCTTGATAGAAAAAAAATCAGAATTGTATAAGGTCTCAATATGCATAAAAACCTTTCAATAACTAATTAATTAGTCTCCATATTTTTAAATCTATTTGTAACTTAATCATTTTCATTCTTCTTCAATTTATTAGTTTTTTTAATAAATAAAAAAGATTTTTTTTTTTTATATAGTTTATCTAGTTTCAATAACGGGTTTTGCTCATATCGAGACTCCATACAATTCAATTTTTTTTTAATTGAGATCTTAAATTTTTTTTTATTCAATTTAAGAGTTTTACTCTTATGTTGTTGTTTCGGACCCTAATATATCATGTATGCACACTTAATAATGACAACTTGCCACATGTCATAGTAGGTCCAAATTGAGTTTTAACGAAAATAAAAAATTCTTACGTGATAAGCTTTCATTGTCTAGAGCTTGTCATGTGTAGTTACGTGGCACATTAGGATATAAAATAATAACAAAATCATAAGAGTAGAACTCTTAAAGTGGACAAAAAAAGGAAAAAAATTAGAGTTTCAATAAAAAAATCCGAATTGTAATGGATCTCGATATGCATAAACCCTTTCAATAAGTAATTAATTAGTCTTTATATTTTTAAATCTATTTGTAACTTAATCATTTTCATTCTTCTTCAATTTATTTATCTTTTAATGAATAAAAAAGAAAAAAATTAAGTAAAAAATCTAGAAAGATTGATGAAAAAAGAAGGCACTTTTTGAAACAAAATAATATTAAATCTGGTCAAGGGACTTAATAGTTATCTTTCAAAACAAGAGGGCCAATTTAATTTATTTTTGTAAGACTAGAGGGACTAATTTATAATTTACTCCCAACAAAAAACTATGGGCAACTCAAGCAGGGTAGTAGGGTTCGTTAAAAAAAAAAGAGAAGGCAACGCATATTAGATAATAATAACACTAAAGAGAATAAATTTGTGGTGCAAAATCAGATTTGAAGAAAGAACTATCAGCAATGAAGAAAAGAAAAACCAAACTCGTGAGGCTAATGAATAGCATACAAGACAAGGGTCACTGTTGGCCGCCATGAAACAGGAGGCATTGGCATCAATGGTTGTAGGATGGGTATCTACATCAGGAGTTCCATGTTTTACCATTCCACAAGCTTTATCACAGCCTCCAGATGGGGAATTAAGGCTCTCACGCTGCTTCATTTTGATTGACTCTCGCTTCTTCCCTGCATTTCATCACTGGCAATTATACACTTGAACAAAACTTGTTAAATGAGACAGGTTTTTTTTTTTTTTTTTTTTTTCAGGATGCCACCAGTCAGGTACTTTTTGACCATAAACTGGCAAAACAGAATGAAAGAGCTAATAATAAGGAATTAACTAAGCACAATATAAGCCCAATGTTCTGGTTCTCACCAGAATATTTTTATCAGAAACGGCTACCAACTTGCTCCTCACATCAGAACCATTATTCTCCCTCCTCATTTTAAAGTCAGGTGCACCCAAAGACACTCTTGTACTTTGTAACCGTTTATCTAGTGACTCTCTATTAACCAGGCCAGCTTCTTTTGGGGATTTAAAGGAGGTACCAGCATGATTAGAAAATTTATTACAACCAGCTGTGGTTTTGTTGCTTCTGTAGAGATTGAGTGTGTTGAAGATCTGTCGTACTTTATTATGTTTAGGATCAGAATATATATAGCAGGAAGTTTATACAGAAGCAGAGTGGTAACTCTGTTACAGGTCTAGTGAACTTAGATTACATTGAGTAGAATTATATTTACACTACAACAAAAATAAGTTTTAGCGACGGTCCACAAACCGTCGCTAAATACCTAAATTAGCAATAATTTTTCATACTTTAGCAACAGTCTAAAAAATGGTTACAAAAATTAAATTTTACGACGGTTTTTAGCAACGGTCCACAATCCGTTGCTAAATTTATCGGCTAACCATTTTAGCAACGGTTTAAACCGTTGGTACATTTAGCAACGGTTTAGCCCGTTGCTAAAACCTTTGGTAACTCGTTATTTAATATTTTTTCAGAGGTTTTATAAAAAAAAAAGCCTAAATAAAAAATATGTTTAGCGATATTCCGTTACCAAACGGAAAATTAGCAACGGTTTGGTGTTATTAAACCGTTGCCAAAATATTCCTTTTAGTGACGGTCAAGGACCGTCGCTAAACCGTCGCCAAATGTACTAGACCGTCGCTAAACCGTTTGTAAGTTATTTAACGGTTGCAAAATAACCGTTGCAACGTTATATTAGCGACGGTCCGGGACCGTCGCTAAACGAGTTGCTAAAAGTAACCGTTGGTGGGAAACGGTCAAATTAAATTTCGAATTTACTTTTAGCGACGAGTCTAAAAACTTTACCCTTCTATAAATAGCGATCGGTCGGAATCTGCCATTTTCTATTTTCTTCTCCTCTCTTCTTCTCCTCCGCGGCGAATCTATGCCTTTCCCTTCTCCAATCCTTTGATCTCTCTCATCAAAGCTATTGTTTCCTTAAAATCTTCATATTTCTTTCCTCTTTTCCTCCTCCTTTCAAGTTTTCTCTCTTCCGTTGAAGTTGTCATTCTCCGACGACCATATTCCGACGAGGTTTTTTTTCCAGTGGTTTCTCCCACTCCTTCTCTTGGTGACAGTGCACCTAAATCTAAACCATCTTTTCAATTATTAATTTTTTCAGTTATTTATTTATGTCAAATAATTAGATTTTAATTTAATTTAATTTAATTACTTATTATTGCTAGTTTAATTATTGAATTGTTTGTTTATTGCATGTGTTTTTTTAATTTGATTATTTAATTAAAATTTATTTTGTGTGTTATTTTAGTGTAAATTGTGAGAGTTAATTAAAATGTTTAATTGTTAATTGTTATGTTAATGTTGTTGTTAATTATTAATTAATTGAATATTATTGTTAACTTTTTAATTTTGTTTTATTTTTTTAAATTGTTGATTAAATTAATTTGATTGTTAATTGTTAATTTACTTACTTTAATTTATTGTTAAATTTTTTTTAGAAAATATAATTGTTATATTTTATTTTATATTGTTATTTAAATTGTTATTGTTATTGTTATTAGTGTAGCTAATAATTGTTAATTTACTTAAGTAATTCACAATTTATTGAAAACATTATTAATTTCTGTAATTTCTAGTTCATTAAGTTAAAGCGTTAGGTTAGTACAAAATAAATTAAAATAATTTTCTAAAATAATTTTTAAATAAATAAAAAATAAAGTTATTAGAAATATTTGTAATTATAATTAGGAATTAAATAAATAATTAAGTTGTATTTAAGAATTTTCTTAAAAAAATTTAAATACATAAAAAATAAAATTATAGGAAAAATTTATAATTGTTAGTAATTAAATAAATAATTAAGAGTTATTTAAAAAAATTTCTTAAAAAAATTTTAGATAGATAAAAAATAAAATTATAGGAAATATTTGTAATTGTTAGTAATTAAATAAATAATTAAGTTGTATTTAAAAAAGTTTCTTAAGAAAATTTTAAATAGATAAAAATAAAATTATAGGAAAAATTTGTAATTGTTAGTAATTAAATAAATAATTAAGAGTTATTTAAAAAAATTTCTTAAAAAATTTTTAGATAGATAAAAAATAAAATTATAGGAAATATTTGTAATTTTTAGTAATTAAATAAATAATTAAGAGTTATTTAAAAAATTTTCTTAAAAAAATTTTAGATAGATAAAAAATAAAATTATAGGAAATATTTGTAATTGTTAGTAATTAAATAAATAATTAAGATTTATTTAAAAAAATTTTCTTAAAAAAATTTTAGATAGATAAAAAATAAAATTATAGGAAATATTTGTAATTGTTAGTAATTAAATAAATAATTAAGTTGTATTTAAAAAAGTTTCTTAAGAAAATTTTAAATAGATAAAAATTAAATTATAGGAAAAATTTGTAATTGTTAGTAATTAAATAAATAATTAAGTTGTATTTAAAAAAGTTTCTTAAAAAATTTTTAGATAGATAAAAAATAAAATTGTAGGAAAAATTTGTAATTGTTAGTAATTAAATAAATAATTAAGTTGTATTTAAAAAATTTTCTTAAAAAAATTTTAGATAGATAAAAAATAAAATTATAGGAAAAATTTGTAATTGTTAGTAATTAAATAAATAATTAAGTTGTATTTAACATTTTTTTTCTAAACTTAGGTTGTTTATATATTTAGAAAATAACTTGTGTGTAACAAAAAAAAGATTTTAGATTTAGTAATAAAAGTTACTTTATAACTATTTTGTTTAAAGTGAATTTGAATTGCTCTTGGATTGACTTTAGATTAAGCTGGTGGATTATTAAATGAGCGTTTTGTAGAAGGGGTTAATGAATTTATTAACTTTGCGGTTAGTCATCCACGGTGCATGGATGGAAATAAGATACGATGTCCATGTAAACAAAAAAAAATGTCAAAATCGTAGTTATGAAAACCACGATACCGTTAAGCATCATTTGCTTAGATATGGGTTTGTGTACGGGTATTATGTGTGGAGACGTCATGGAGAGAATGATTTAGCAATTAATGCCAATTCGTTTAATAATGTTGAACAAGAACAAATATGTGATGATCGTCAAGTTAATCGATACCACACAATGATGATGAATGCGGTTGGTCCATCTTTTAATCCGTCTAACACGGACGAAGACCCAAACCCTTACGCACAAGCATTTTATGATTTATTAGATGCATCAAATAAAGAAATATGGATCGTGTCGGAAAACCATTCGCAGTTATCCGCAATGTCTCGTTTGTTGCATCTCAAGTCCGAGCATCATTTTTCGGAGAGGTGTTACGACGATTTATGTCAACTTATGAAAGAGTTGATGCCTCCCAATAACAGTATGCCGGAAGACTTTTATAGTACAAAAAAAAATGATAGAAATGATGGGTTTGCCCGTAGAAAAGATCCACTGTTGCATTAGTGGTTGCATGATTTATTGGGGTCGGGACGGCTAGAGAATCTCTTGTAAAATATGTGATCATCCTCGATATCGAAATCCTACGCGGGGTTCGATTAGACAAACATTTTTCCCTACAAAAAAATGTATTATTTTCCGATAACTCCATGATTACAAAGGATGTATGCATCAAATGCCACCGCTAATGATATGACATAGCATGCGCAACATGTGTGTGAGCCCAACATCATGCGTCATTGTTCGGACTCCTTCGCATGGCAACATTTTGACCAAACACATCCTTCTTTTGCATCGAAATTAGGAATGTTAGATTAGGTGTTTGCACTCGATGGGTTTCAACCGTTTGGTAAGTCCGGACAACAATATTCTTCGTGGCTCGTCATTGTAACGCCATACAATTTGCCACCATGGAAATGTATGAAAGAAGAATATATGTTCTTAATCGTTATTGTCCCCGGTCCTAAGAACCCTATAATCAATTTAGACATATACTTACAACTCTTAATTAAAGAGTTGATAGAATTATGGGAAGTAGGTGCTCTTACTTATGATGTGTCACGTAAAGATAATTTTCAAATGAGAGGCTGCTGTCATGTGGACAATTAGTGACTTTCCTGCATATTCAATGTTATTTGGTTGGAGTACTGCGGGTAAGACGAGCATGTCCGTATTGTATGAAAAATTCGATGCTTTCACCCTTCGAAATGGGAGGAAAACTTCATGGTTTGATTGCCATCAAAAGTTTCTATCACAATGCCATCCGTTCGGGCGAAATAGGATCGCGTTCAAGCGAAATTCGGTTGTTACGGACATTGTTCCACCGATAAAGTTTGGAATTGAAATTTTACAAGAATTAAACAATTGGGGGTTGCTGAAAGTAACGGAAGAGGGATCCGATGAGTATAATAATAATATATCTAAATATTGTGGTTGGAAAAAGCGTAGTATATTTTGGGACCTACCTTATTGGGGTTCTAATCTAATACGTCATAATTTGGATGTCATGCACATTGAAAAAAATATCTTCGACAATGTGTTTAATACAATTATGAATGTCCCAAGAAAAACAAAAGAAATGCAAATTCAAGAGAAGATCGAAAGCTATATTGTCGACGGCTCGAATTAGAAATAGATGAAAACTTTAGAAAATACCCAAAACCCTATTATACTCTAGACAAATAACAAAAAATACAATTACTTGAATGGATTAAACAACTAAAGTTTCCGGATGGATAAGTCT